TTTGATGGGTGAGAAGGGCAGAGATAAGAAGCCAGATTGGAAAATAATTCACACTTTTAAAACATCATACAACATTACACAGACTCATGTACTTTTCCCTGTTCCTCATAAGTACACCTAAAAACTCAGGGTGTTATATATAAAATATCTGTAAGATGACTCTGAAAGGAGAGAGAAGAGAGTAGAATTGCTATGGACCTTGGAACCCAAGGAACAACACAGTGGTGAGTTTTCTGGGTTTTCTTCTTGCTTCACAACCCTAGACTGTATAATAGAGAAACTGAAAACCCAGAACCACCAACAGGCACAGACAAAACCCCAAGAAAAGCCTGCTCTGTCTAGCCAAAGGACCAGGAAAGGGGCAGCCTAGCAAGACAATAAGCACTCTATTCTAACCATACACGACCAGAAAAACATGCTGTGGTCCCACCCACATTCATACCAAGAAAGGCCAAATGGGAGGCCTACATTTCTACCTTCATGAGCCTATAACAAAGTGCTGACATCCCTGCCTGGGTGATATCAGAGAAGGCCAAGTCAAGAGCTGGAACTTTTATTCCCAATGGCCAATAAGAAGACCCCTGGCCACAATGTCGGTGGAGACCCTGTGGGGAACCTGGACTTCCACCCCCACCAAGAAATAAAGAGTTGCCCCGCTCCTCTCTTTTGGGATGGTGTCAGAGAAAGTACAGCGGAGCCAGGATTTTCACCACTGCCCAGTGGTAGCATGGCCATCTTCACTGTGGTTATCAGTAGATATCCCTCAGAGAACTGGAACTCCCATCCCCACCCAGGAGAAATGAGGAGTACCCCGCTACCTATTTAGGTGTCATGAGAGGCTGAGTGGGGAATCTGGATCTCTACTTTAACCTGGTAACACACTCCCCACTTGTTCTGCCAGCGTGGTGTCAGAGAAACCCAGTTAAAAGAGAATGTTTAATTAAGACCCAAGACTCAGAACATGACATCAAGAACCAAGAAAACCTCAAACTGAACTAAAGAAGACAATCGATAGATGCCAATATCTAGATGAGAGAGATGTTAGAAGTATCTGAAAAAGATTTTAAAGCAGCCATGATCAAAATGCTTCAATGGGTAATTTCAAACACGGTTGAAATGAATGAAAAATCAGAAGGCCTCAGCAACACAACAGGAAGTCTCGCCCAAGAAACAGCACATATGAAGAACCAAATGAAAAATTTAGAACTTAAAAATGTAACAACAAATAAAAAGCTCAAGGGGTAACATTAATGAAGTGGACAGAGGAAAGAATCAGTGAAGTAGAAGACAGAGAAATACCTAATTTGAATAGAAAACAAACTGAAAAAAAAAATCGACTGAGCCTCAAAGACCTGTGGAATTATAATAAAAGATCTAACATTCACGTCACTGGAATCCCCAGAAGGAGAGAAGAAAGAGGTTCTGGCTGAAAAAGTACTCAAACATTTTCAAAATTATAAAAGTATAGACACAGAGACCAGATTTGTGGTTGCCGGCAGTTAAGAGGTGGGGTAGAGATGGAAGGGAATTGGTAAAGCTATAAAAGGGCAACACAAGGGATCATTTTTGTGATGGAAATGTTCTGTATCTTGACTGCATCAATGTCAATATACTGCTTGAGATATTGTTCTATAATTTTGTAAGATGTTATAATTGGGAGAAACTGGATAAACGGTCCAATAAGATCTCTCTGTACTACTCTTACAATTGCATGTGAATCTACAATTATCTGAAAACGAGTTAAAAAGTAACACCAAAAACTCTGCGTGGGTAACCTCTCATCTGTAAGTTCCTGTTTGCATTTTGTCTTTTAAGTATATACTGCCAAATTGTCTCTTTGTTAAGACGTACTTATTTGTATTCCCACAGAGTTTTGCCGTACACCATTGCAAAGCTTATTGGAGGACTTTCCTTAATTGTAAGGATATCATCTGGCACAAACATTAACAGCACTGATTAAGAATATTGTTATGGTTTTAATCTCACAAATGAAAAATAAGTTATAGAAGTAAAAATACATATTATTAAGTTATTATTAAAACATTTTTATATGTTTTCACCTCTTCCTAAATAATGAATGACTAAATAAATAGAAAGCTATTTGCAGGTCAATTTCTTTTCGTCAATGGTTGAGATAGAAAAAAAATTTAGATAGTCATCTAAAATAATGGGCCCAAACCAGAAATCCAAGAGGAATAAAAATAATAATCTTACATTTACCTTTAAAAACTCAATTGCATAAGGATAAAGGAAGATATGACTCAACAGGTCTTTACCTAACAATTTCTAGAAGTGTCACCCGAACAAAATTTGAATTCGAACTAACATACACCAAAAAATAGTGCAAAAGTCAAGCTGCTTTAAGACTACCATAGTGTCTGGGCAGCAGTCACACTATCGTATATGCTGATTAGAACACATTTGTCACTCTGGGCTCTTCTTTGAGTGTCACATGTTTAAGAGGATCACTAACATGCTAAAGAGTTGTTTCAGACAGAAATTCAGAGAACTAGTCATTAGAATGGGTGAGCTCTCATATAAGGGCAAAACTTCTAAAATGACTGTGTGTACATTTATATAATGTATATTTATTTTTCCTACATTTCCCATAGCATTAAATATTATTCTTGGTGAAGCCACCTTTTCCAAAAAAACTTAATAAAGAGGCACATGGTTAGCACACAGTGAGTGAATCAGCATTCACTGATTCATTACTTTTTCTGATACTGGGACAAATCAGAACAATGCGGACTCCAGAAAGAATCTTGATAAACCATTTGAAAAATTATCTTAATCTGGTTCAATAATTTGTATGATGTTACTTAGTTTCAAAAGGAACTACTCATTAGCTCAATGTGATAAAGAAAAAAAAATCTCACCAACTAATTCAGCAGCTTCAGATGTGGAAAAATAAATCTTTGTAAAAAAAAGTGGAAGTGCTTCTATACATGCATTATTAGCTTTCAAGCCACATACAATGAAACCTCAAGGTATGACTTCATTATATGATTCTCTTAAGGAGTACAAAACTGAGAAAAACAGTCCAGCCTTTTCTGAGTACAAATGCTGAAAGATATCTGAATACAGTTTAACAGGAACAATTTTTTTCTTCTGCTGGTCCCTGAAAAAATAAAGGGACACACTACCCCACACTACCTCTCTTGTTTATGCTCAGGCTATTTTTAGTATTTATATGACAGTCCTAATAAAGACAGGCTGTTAGTGTTAGTATTAGTTTAATACTATGTCTCTCTCTCTCTTTTTTAAAGTATCCAATGAAAAACAGTATGATTATACCATCTAAGCTGTCAAAATATAAAGCTGAAACTCATACACTGGTTCTTTAACCAAGACAAATATTTGTTCTGCTGAAAGACAACAAGACTTCAAGTAGAAATTTCCCTTTTGTCTTTTGGAAAAAAAATTTATTAAACTGGCAAATATTTATTGTTTAGCAACAAACAGAATAGCCACAGGGTCTACATTAAGCAATTTACAGTAAAACAAGGCATCTTATTTAGGTCTATGATTCTTTCAAATGACTACTTAATGTGTATATTTCTAATGAACCATAAAAACTGTTTATTTCTCATGTGAGCAACATGGAGAACAAGGTTACTAGACAAATTTTAATAAATTTGTTTATTGCTCATATAAGTAGCAAAAATTGACTTCAAATAAATTGTAGATAATCTAAGCATCTATAGCTGCTTTCTGGGAAATATTTTAATGGTATCATCAGTGGAATCTAACCATCAGCCTTAGCTACTGTAACTCCTATTATACTTGAACTAGCATTCAGAAATTTTTGAACTAGCATTCAGAAATTTCCTACAGGCTAACGAAAGACATTTTAATTGGTTATCTCTAAATATTCCTGGAAAACTCTCTCCAAAACAATAAGGGTCAGCATTCTACTGGATGCACTAAGTGCTTCACATGCTATATCTCCTTTGATCCTGACAATTGTATAATGTGGGTGTTACCATTAACTCCATTTACAACTGAGAAAACCAAGGCAGAGAGTAGTTAACTAATTTACCAGAGATTACCCAGCTAGTAAATGTTGGATCCGAGATTTGAACCAAGGTGGTCTGATTAGAACCCCAGATATTGGAGTCTTAATTGCCATATTTTAACCCTTGTGCTTGTATACAGTTTGGGCTTCATGAATCAAAACATTTATGTGATTTCATCAAAAATGGATCAAAGATCACAACAATTAATAAGTGGTAGGTTTTAACTATTTAAACATTTCTCCGACGTCTGACAAATGGCTTTCAAACTTATCTAGAAAATTTATCTCGAGTGGAAAGAAGGGTTTGTGAAACACAGAGTAAGATCAGGCACCTTAACCAAGGACATCCTTTCACTCCCTTCCCCTGGTAAGGATCTTATCACTTTCTTTTGATTAGCACCTCCTTCCATTTTGCTTCACGTTATTCGTAACACAGCCCATATTTTCCCATCCCCAACACCTGGAGGGTCTAAACAAATCTCACTTCCGTGGGGGAGGTTTCCTTGTAGGTCTTGAAAAGAAATAAACAAGTGTTATTTTTTCTCCATGGCTGACTCCTAATGACTCAATGAAATGTTTATCTTATTTGCACCAAATCATCAACCCATATGCCTTTATATTAGGGTTACGATGGCCCACTGAAATAAATAAGAACTGCCAGAGTGCCTGGAATTTTCAGACCCAGGGAAATGGACATATTTTAGCGACTTCTGACAATTGCACATTTATAAAAGGTAAAGCACAATGAACTGACCTGAGGTTTAAACAGTCACAGTGGCCAGAATTCAGGCTATAAGTCTGTACATCTTTTAAACAAAAGTGCCTTTCCCCATTTCTACCTGGCTTGTTTCGTTCCATTTGCAATAATTAGAGAAAAAAAGCAACAAATATGTTACTTTGTATCGATAACATGCAAAAATATGTACAGTTTTTAACTCAATGGCATTCATCGTGAGGAGGCAGCTGTTTCGTTGTTGTTGCTGTTTTAATAAAGCTCACCATCACTATTTACTAAGCTGCCTTGTTCCACTACTATTCTTCCTAAAAGTGATGAATGAGCTCCGTTCTTCTTTAAAAAGAATATCCTCTTCAGAATATCAATGCCTGCAAATCTGTAGTGTAAGATATGAGGGCTCGTAGCACCAAATCCATACAGTCATCACTCATTTGCCCATAACTGACACTGTTCATTTATTTCCCAAATAACTAACCACTCAACTTTAATGACATGTCTTTTCAAACCTGTTCTTGTGATATAGGATTAACATGAAAACAATCTAACCATGTCAAATCAGAACTTCAGAAAAAACTAAACTTATGCAGGCCAGTTACAAAATACATGCTAATCAGAATATAGTATGCTCCCTTCCCTTCTCTCTTCAAACTTTAATTCTTTTCCTTGTTTTCCTGAACATCTTTTATGTTGACATTTGGCAATTGCCAATGCACTCTGTGACAGTAGCCTGACAGTTCACAAAGTCTCTGTGCGTCTGTAGAATTCCAAAAAGCAGGTTATAACATTATAAACAACCTTAGTGTGGGCAAAAGATGACACATCTTAAAAGAAATTTGCTTTGAAAACAGAACATTCATTTATTTAAAATCTCGTTTGATTTAGCCAGGTTATTCAGGGGCAAAGCACTAAATCCACAAATGTAAAAATTACCAACTCATGTTCAAGGCGCACGTCCTCACCCTGTCACTGTTGGGACAGGGGTCTGGGATGGAGTAGTGTTAATAAAACAAAGTACATGGATCTAAAGGGATGTCTAAAAAAAGATAGACTGTGGTTAGATCACATCCATGTTTCCGGCGGAGAAGAGACAGACTGGTAGATGATTTGTTTATATAACAAAAAAACAGAGTACAAAATATGGGGCTAACATGAGGTCTAAAGAGGTTTTTTTTTTTTTTGCATCATTCCTATTATATTTTATGATGTATTATCTTTGGGTAAACAGAAAACAAATATTTTAGTGTCAAACTGTGCTCTGGTCCTAATTCCAAACATTTATCAGCGGGCAAGGTTATAAAACAATTTCAGTGACATATTAGTTCCTTTGTAAACCTGAAACTTATGAGTTTAGAAATGATTCTTCTGAATGCAAAACTAAGTCTCTGTCAAGTAAAAATGACAGGTACGAATTTGTTCTTAAACTTACCTAGAACGTGACTGATACTTCATGATCCTTTCAGTGTGGTAGTCTCATGCCTCACAGTCCTTATAAACTAGAAATATCCTAATTCATACTTCCATTTTGCTGCAATAATGGCGCCTTCCTTCAGATTCATAAAGAAGGTTAGAAAAAACGGATCATCCTCAGGATTTTTCCTCTCTACGTAATTTATAAGGAGGCACTCTAGTGTAGTAGAATGAGATCTGGATTAAATTCTGGTTGCAACTTCAGCACTAGCTATGTGAACACAGGCAAGTCACTTCACACACTGCACTTGTTCCTCCCAGCTCTAAATCGTGTGTCTGTTTAGCCTTACCAGAGGTATTTCTTTTTTTTCTTTCCTTTCTTTTCTTTTCTTTTTTCTTTTTCTTTTTTATTTTCGATGACTTAAGTGCATTTTATTGGTTTTCTTTATTACGGGAGGTACTTCATTGGACAGACTTGTAGGCATTTCGAAGGAATGCACATATAAATACAGAATAAATACCCAGGAACAATCCAAAGCTATTAATGGCACTAAAATTAGCTGTATGACCTACTGGTAGTTAGATACTTTTACTACACCATTCTTTTATTCACTCACTCTCTCTCAAAAAAAAAAAAAAAAAAAGGCTGGAAGGATAGAAACCATATTGTTTATAAATTCCTTCTTCCATGAATTTTTCTTTCAGAGAATCTTAAATTTTTCTATCAGGAACAGGTTTTTTTAATGCGGAAAAAAAATGTTATTTTCCTAACAGATATATGTTTTGGGTTCTAGAAGACACACACTGACCTGGTTAATATATTTTTTTAACTTTGGAAAACATTTGTAAAGCCTTGAATAGAACTGGGCTACCCAGTTAAAGACTTGGCACATATCAGAGCTTACTAACCAAAATAAGCTCAGCCTGTCACCTTGCCTTTATTACTGTCTTGCTTCACTGAACTAACCAACCATAGTTAACTTCTCAAGAAAATCTTACTCCCAGGAGTACAGAATATTTGTCTTGCTGTTTAGAGAAGTCTCCAGTGCCAATTCTAAAATGCTGGAATAAATTTTGGTGAAAAACATTCAGTATTTTCAAATGTTTGAATGGACTTCACGAATAAACACATTTATTTTCTTATAATAATGAGGCATACAAATTGCTGCAAACTTTGAAAACAGCATTGAAAATACATTCCTCAGGCATGAATGGCCTCCCTCGCAAAAATTTCTTAGGCTGGACTTTTGCTATCGTTGTGCTTCATCAGCTTTTGTGATTCGAGAGCACGGCACTGAAATGAGGAGTGAAGCACCATTATTTAGAACTACATAAATTACATTTTTTATGGCAACCTTAGAAAATTAATTTTGGATGCTCCCACGCAATCTGCTTGATTTGTGTTTCTTGCTTTTGGCTTGTATTAGCAAAAGCTTAGTCATATACCTTCTCAAGCTCTGCTCTAAAGTACACTGCAACACCTCACTAACCCCATCAGAGAAAGTTTGCAATTAGAGTCTGATGACTTTACGTAAATATTCGGGGATTTCAATAAAAGTTAATCAAAACATGTATTATAAACTTCTTTTTCCAGGATCCCACAGTTTTCTGAGGGAGCTGTGGCAAAGGGTTAGGCGCCTATAGAACTCTTTGCAACTATAATTCTGTATGAGTCTCAGGTCAGAAACTATCATTTTTCTCTTCTCAATCATCGTCAGGAAAGAACTCTACCAACACGATTGTTTCCTTTTTAGAACAAATACAGCCTCTCTTTGCCAAAGCTGCATGTACATGAACAATTAATACTGACTTACATGATAATTCGAAATATTTCCTCACGTACAGATTAGACGTAGCCAACACATAAAACTAACATTAGCAATATGCAGGTACGTAGATAAAAAGCATTTTGTTTGGAAAGCAGGGTTGACCTTCACAGTGGTTGACCTGATAAGGCTAAGTCTGGGAAACAGTGAGGCAGATGGCTGTTAACAACGTACGGGTACACCTTGCCCTGGCCCTCGGATGTCAAAGTAACCTGCATTCTTTTCAAACCCTTCCTTTCATTTTTGAAGCACAGCAAACCAATGGAAACACTACTAACAGAAATCTCTGTCCAGGTAAAGGCTCTGGAAACGACTGGAGAAAATTTACTGCCTGGACAACAAACCACTGGCCCCTACCTGCTGTGATCTTAGAATGGCGGCATCGATCTCCTCCACCTTCTGGGTGATAGTGTCGCTCACTAATCGGTAGCGCTCGTTGTCTTCCGCCACCATTTTTTCAAGTCCTTCCCTCGCCCTCCACGGTACCAGTTCCAGTAAAGCACTGCTCACTTCATTAAGGGAATCCAATAAAGCTTTGCTGTTCTTAGCTTCCTTCTTTAGCTCCTGAAAACAGAATTAAGAAAACACATAAATCTATGGGTAACGTTTATGTGTCTGAACAGGCTTTTTCCTTTAACTGTGTTTGGGGCTAAAGTCCTTTACAGGTCAACAATGTGATGCACTGGCTCCCTTAGTTTCAGCTAAGTTCTATCAACCTTTGCTATTTAAAACTATTGTGCAAAAAGGAAAGTGTTTCCTGAAAAGTTCCTAACAACAATTCATTTGTCAACATGGCAAGATTTTATCTTTGAAATTTAATATAAATGTTTAAAAGTTGGGATACAAAGCCAAGCAAGTTAACATGTATCACTATGTGTTTTCTGGTAACCTCTAAGTAACCAGGTACCAGAAAAGTGGGGGAAGAGTAAAGTCCAAGCCAGAATCAAGTGACCCTCAAAATGAGGACACATTGGCTTTAAATTATCCCAGTTGAATCATTACAGGCTCAGCAAGCCTGACTTCACCAACTCCCTTTCACTCATATACGATCATATTTCCGGGGTGATAAAAACAGGCTGATACCTCTGAAAAGAAGAACGATTAGCAAATAGAATACCACATTTGCAATATAATTAAAAAGGTCACCTCATGTTACTCATCTGTCTTATAAGAGCATTGTTATTCTAACCAAATTATGTGTATCTCTGGAAACAATGATCCTTTTCCTCTATTTTACTTTTTCATCACTCTGTCTCTTGTGTAATAAACTGTACTCTCAATTATAAGACCGAAAACAAATCATAATACTGTGTTTTCATCTCCAGGTTTCTAAAAGTTTAATCAGCTGATCTGCTGCCAGTTTCTGACAGCTCCCCGCCCACCAGGGCATATTAGCAATGACACGAGAAAACTATCATCTCATTCTTTGTGAATAAGACTCCCTAAAAGATAACAAGCTGATCCAAAATCTATAAATCATAGCATACTTTTTGTCGCACTTGAGCTTGGCTTGCGGCTTCTCCCTTCAGAACCTGAGATTCATATGAAAGCAGCTCCACCTCCACTTTGTCCAGCCAGGCGCAGAGCTCGTCGTGTGTGGAGTGCAGCCGCCTCGCAAGCTGCAGCGCCTGTTCCAGCGTCTTGGCGACATCCGTGCTCAGCCTAGTAATGTCTTTGTACCTTGCTTTAATGGCGTCCAACTTATCTTGAATTATTAAAACTTCATCACCTAAAATTTCAAAGGCATGTTATATCTCATGAAAGGAAGAAGAAAGGGTTGGGGGAAAGGGTTTCTTCAGGTATTATTGTACACTGATGAGATTTTCTGTAAGGGAGGGGAGCATAGGAGACATATTTTAAAGAAGTCCTGACTCAAGAGGAGCCCTTTTCTAGGTTTTAATCTTTCCCAGGGTTACTGGCCAATCTAAACATGTCTGAAAATGCAAATATAAAAACCAGAAAAGAGTATAGCGCCTTCACTTATGTGGAAAGTATCACCTTTGTATCTATCTTGCGTAGTGATTTTGGCTCTCAAGCGGAGAAGTTAAAAACTGTCTGGGTTCAAATACTGACTTCGTGGTCTAAAAATATTGACTTTGTGGCCTGTTATCGTACACAAGTTACTTAACCTCTCTGTGCCCCTGGATACTCATCATTACATGAGGGCAAGAACAGAACCTTCTTCATAAGGTTGTAATAAAAATTCAATGAGTTTATATTTACAAAGTGTTGAGAACAGCGCCTGGCATATGTGGAAGCATGCATACATGTGTGTATGCATGCATACATATGCATTAATGTTAAAATTAATACATTCATCTACACTATTCCTCCACCTCATTTTCAGACACACAAAGAAACTGTGTCCCAGGCTTCACACTCCTAGTTCACGGCTCTAAGTACTACATTAAATTCCTCCAACTCATAAAGAATGGTACTTGCCCCCATCACGCACATATGCTGAACTGGATATAGTTCAATGAAACTTTCCCGTGGCCACAGAGAATACTAAACCAAGAGAGTTTGTGTCTGTTTTCTTGGTAAGTTTGAGCATGAAGACATAAAGCCTGGGTATAGCTACAGTATATGTCACTGAATGTCATCTATTTTAAAATTAAAAAAAAAAAAAAAAAAAAAAAACTATCTACAACCTACGTGCTCATCTAGAACAACTGCCTTCCACAAGTGGAAAACTAATGAAACTCCACGTGAGCTTCTCTGACCATCTCCTGTGCCACAGTGCTTTGTGTTATGAGTAATGCAGGCAATTCCACTAAGAACCCAAGTGAGATCATGAGAAAAAAAGTGAGATCATATTCTCACCCCCCCTTGATCGGTCTTCAAAGCTTTCTCCAGAATGAAGTCTTGGAGTGGCCCCAAAATTATAAAGTTTTTGTTTCTCTCCCATCCAAAACTATTTTAAAAGCAATGCAAAATGCTGACTCCATGATTATTTACTTGAAAAGATATCTCACCTGTTGTCTGTTTAAGTAGTTCTAAACCATTTAGTAATGCCTGATCTACATTTTGTTTTCTGAGCAGTATGTCTTCTTGCAGAACCTAAAATGCAGGTACCATTTTTACGTGGGGGAAAAAAATTAAATAAGCATTAGCATTAGTCAATATTAGAGGACCTTCATTGGATTTTTATAGAGATATATCTGAGTAAACAGCTCACATTGTCACACATTCATTACTGTTCCCATGATTCCCCTCCTCTTTCCACCACTGGGACCCATGTCCCAGGTTCGTCTACCATAATTCACAGCACACTCTCCTTTTCAGAAAATATTAAGGGCCCCATGTAGAGATACTGGAGTACTGGTTAATTGTGAGTCTTTGTAGACAATGACAAGATAACAAATAAAAAGTGAAAAATCCAGCTATTGGGTAAATTCAATCTCTTTTTTAAAGTAACTTCATTAAAAGTTATCTGTACATATAGGCAGTCTTTTTTGAGTATATAGATATTCACCGAAATCATAATGAACATAAAATAATAATACGGAAACAAGGAAGACTCAGAAAATAATGACAATCAAAATAAAAAATAAATAAATAAAATAAATCAAAATACCCGAAGTTCAGATTGCTGCTCCCATAGCCCCTCAGTGCTGTAATCCTGGACTGAGAGCTTGCTCAGTTTGCCATGTACTTCATTCAGCCAATTCATCAGCTCAACTTCATCTTCCCCAAAAATCTTAGCATTACATAAGGCCTGCTGGAGCAGCTCAGACCTGCTGTGACTTTTCTCTTGAATCTCAATGTACCACACTTGAGAGGAGTCTAATTTATTCTGCACAGTATCTTTATCCTCCCTGGAGCTCAAAACCTTTAAAGACTGGCCAATGCTAACGGCCTGGTGCAAATGTTTATTGTGATTTATGATGTCATCTTCTAAGGCCTAAATAAAGTTTAAAAAAAAAAAAAGAGAGAAACAAACAGAATGGACAAATAAAAATGAAAACATAAATAGAACAAAAGGATGACATTTGAAATGAATTTAATTTGCAATTACACATAATGCAACAATAATACATAACTCAAATTTATGTCATAAAACCACGAAGGAAATGGAAAACCGAATCTTACTAATGTGTGATGGGTATCTTACTTTGTGCTGTGCAATCTGTTCCTCAAGTTTAGACGCTTGGGTTCCTATGGGCTCAGAGTTCGCCAGCCTCTTTTCTATGGTTGTAAGCCACTCATTCAGTGGTTCTAAGGTTTCATGAAATTGCTGTGCTACCACCGAGATACCTTCCAACTGACGATTCCTAAAAATGCGCCAAGATAAAGGTCATTTAGGGATGAAGAATGTGTGAAACACTCAACAAAAATCTTCACTCACGCTCCTGCATTCTATTCTAAACAACTTTTGTAGAAAACATCTGAGGTTAAAATTAAAATCTCTCACATTTAAAGGACACATTAAAATAGGTCTCCTATTAAATAAAACTAAAGTTGAACAACAGACCAGACTCAGGTGCCTCAATCTTATGAAAGTCTTAAGTAACTTGGTTATAATACAACGACGATAACAATAATAACAACAATAGTAATAATAACAGCAGTGATAATAATGATAATAATAGGTAATATTTATTCAACACATTTTAAATATTTTAAAAAGGGGAGAGTATCTCTCATGCAGGCAGGGCACAATGTCCTGGGGGCATTACAGAGAAGGAATAATCTGCTGACACATATTGAAGGTCAACATGAAACTTTTAGCATCCTAGGAGTACCTTATTCTATGGTCCTGGAACTATAATTAATTCTACTCTCTCATTTAAGATTAGTCAAATCCTTTTTTTCACCATTTTAGCTCCAAAGAAGGTAGGGATTTACGGAAATACTCTGTTCAGTGGTTCATCTATTTCCAATCAAACAAGTTTAAGTGGCTTCAGTGGTTCATCTATTTCCAATCAAACAAGTTTAAGTGGCTACACTTCGATGTAGCTACTACTCAAAACTGGTCAATATGGTGCCAATGGAGAGAATGCGGAAATGTAAGAGAGAAATGTTGAGAGCAAAAGTCCAGTGGAGCCGTGCTCTCGGCTTCCTGGCCTTCAGGTATGTTATAGCACCTTCCACTTGCCTTGTTTCCTAGCTAACTCCTACTTTTCTTTTAAAACATAGCTTAGCTGTCACTATTCTGCCCCTTGACAAGGTCCTTCCTATGAAATGCTCCCACAGAACTCTGTATTTTTGCTTTGAAATATCACATTTGTCGTTACTTTTCAACTGCTATAAAACTCTACTAGATGGTACCCTATTTGAAGACACTGATGATCTGTCCAGCTCATCCCTGTAACCCAAAGCCTAGTTCTGTGCTCGATGCATAGTAGGCAGGCAATAACTATGAAATAAACAAATAAATAAATTACCCCCAAGAAAAATGTTTTTTTCCCCCTCAAAACAAAGAGTTGGGGTGTATCTGGTGACTACAAGACACTACTCTTAGAAAAATAAGGAGAGAGGCACCACAGCCTTTGCTATCTATGTTCACACACGTGATAAGCATAGGAAAATAACAAGAGAAGTATTACTAAATACAAAATATCAGTATTAAAGCCATTGCTACAATACAAACTCAGTATTAAAGCCATTGCTACTCTTTCAAAAGATTGGAAGTAGTATTTAAGTTACCTTGTTTCAGCTTTACTAAGCAAGGCCTCCCATCTACTATCCAACAGACTTAGTTGTTTCAAAATCTTCACTTTATCTGCGGGTTCTGCTGTGGCAGCAATTTTTTCTCCTTCCCGTTTGATTACCTCCACAGTGGATTTGCGGTCATCTAACAATCTTTGGAGAAGCTTGAGGCAAAACAATAAATACCAAAAAAAAAAAAAAAAAAAAAAAAAAAAAATTCAAAGGAATATTTGTGTCAATATAAAGGAAAATATATTCTAAGTTCTTTTGATATGTTACTAAAATACATATTTAAATGGATTCACATACAAAAGGATCTAAAAAATAGGACTTTAAAAATAATGCATTTTGCTTAATGATTCATTACTGTTGCATCCGACACTGTGGTAGGGGCTTTTCATAGTAGGTAAAACGAATATTGATAAGACCACTAAAACCATTATTAATTTTTAATATAAAATAATGAGGTAGAAAGTACTGCTTAGGGTAACTACAGTACAAAATAAGTCTACTACACCAAAAGTGCCAAATCTCCATTATTGTAATGAAACAGGAATGTCCCAAACATTCAACAATGATCTGTCCCATAAGATAAAAAAGATTACTAAAAATCATTACTGTTTTCAAAACCATTTCTGATGTTAAACAATCTAATATAGAAAGAAAAGGTGAAACTCAAACCAAGTTCAAAAGCTACTGAGACTAAAATTAGAGGCTCCTGGCTCTTTTTACTGGTGAGACCAGCTACTAAAATCCTTCATGAGGATGAAAACTAAAAGAGAACTGCTAATTATTATTTCCAAAAGGAATAGAGGGTGGAACACATCGGAAATCTCCAAAGCTGGATAAATGAGACTAATATTTCAGGATTTAGCAGCAGAAAAAAAAATTTCATTTAATTCTAAGTAAACATTTCGAGAAGCCTGGAATGGAATGTTTGATAGAATTAGCCAGAAGTCAAGACCGCCTTGCCCTTATGTAATCACTAAAAGTATTTCATGAGCAAGTGCTACGCACAGGTACTGCATTAACAGCAATGCGGAAGGCAAAAGTGTATGAAACACTATTTCATTGTTTCCTCAGTCTGATACTGACTGATAGGTTAAAGGTTAAAGAAATGGACAGTTACCCTGAAGTAACAAGCCAGAAGAGTATTTAGGTTACTTTCATTTTGAGATTAAGACCACCAAAGCAGAAGGCAGAGGAACATGTTCAAAAAGGAGAAGAAAAACAGACTGTCTTGATACAGGTTAGAGTCATTATAAAATCAAAGCCTAACAAGTGGTTTAGGCTGTTAAGGAAACTAATTAAGCGGATTACTTTTGATAACCTTTAATAAATTTCTAGCAATTAAGAAAGCAAAATCAGCACATAGGTTTTGTTGCTAAGCATAACCATTAACTCCGGGAGAATTAGGAAGGTTTAAATTAAATTGTGAATGGCAGCAGTTATATTATTATATATAATATTACGGTACTATGAATAATATGTAACACTTTAATATTATTAGAGTCTACATGTTATATATTATTTTACCACATATGTAATATATATTATTCAAAAATCACACAAATGCAAGGTGTTTCCTGCGATGTCTCTTTAATTCTTCCTTCTAAATCCATTTCTAATAGGTTAATTTTCCAATATACTGAAGTCTTCAAAGAATTTTTAGATAGTACTGAACATCAAAATTAACTTATTAAGCCTCTTAATCCATTCCCTTCTTTTTGAAGTTTCACACAGGAGAAACCTTCCTAATGTGCTGTTTTCTAGGCCCCTCCCATAGGTCTTTTCAAGTCATGGCTGATATATTAGTACTGAAAACATCACTTAATGCTTCCTAACTGACCGCTACCACCAGGAGTACAAAACTGTATGTGTGGCCCCAAGTAGTTATCATCCCTCTAACGAGTACACCTTTTCAACTTGGTCCTGTATTAATAGTGTCAAAAGACACACCATCATATTCTTTAGCACATGTGAATCAAATATATTTGCCTCTTTAGTATAGGTTGAACCTTAAGAAACTGCCCATATTTAATCTATGAAAAAGGCACTTTCAAATGGATCAACCTAATATAAAAGGTGACATGATATTTCTGTCCAAAGTCACCTTTTGAAAGAGTGAGGTCTTCCTTCCTTGACTACTCTATATAAAATTACACACACATACACACACACACATACAAACACACATACCCTCCACTCTAGCACTTCCTGTTCTCCATTCTTGCTATCAATTCCTAATTTCTACCTCCCATCCGTGCTTTATTTATCACTTGCTAACTTATCACAGTTTACTTATTTACTTTGTTTATTGTTTCTCTCTCCCTACTCCTCCTTTCCCTCTAAACCTTAAACTCAGTGAGGAATTTTTATCTCTTTTATTCAGTGATATATCTCCAGCACCTGGAACAATGCCTGATCCTTGGCAGATGTTCCATAAATATTTGTTGAAGGAACAACAAAATAATGTCTACAGCATCGATAACCAGTTAACTAGGATATCTAATTTATACAAATAATGAGTCATAAGGTAAATTTTTATTCTCATTATTAAGACTGAACATTAAATACAATACAAAAGCATCACTAACTTACCTTTTGCTCTTGTATCTGGGCCTTCACCACTTTGAATTCAGCCGAAGGTGGTTTCTGATTGGCCACGAGCTCCTCGGTGTCCACCATCCAGCTGAGCAGGGACTCCAAAGCATCCTGGAACCTCCCACAATGCAGCAGGGCCTCCTGCAGCTGGGCTGCTCGCTGAGCCACCTGTAAAGTTCCAGTTGTTCCAACTTATTTACTTGCTTTTCACGTTTACCTTCCCATTTAGTCACCAATTTTCGTTTCATTTAAAATTTTCTCAAAGCATTGATAGGGGTAGAAAAGAGTCATACTTTAGCTAAAGTAAGCCAAACGGTCAATGTAAAAAACAAAAATCTTTGAGATTTTGGAAATATCCAATGCATTTATAATTAACAATGAATGATTCCCATATTTTAAGGTTATCGAAAAAAACAACACATTAGTCATTTTATCATTATCCCTGGAATTCATTTTTATTTCCTAATGATGAATATCAGAGATAATGATAAAAAAAAGACTAAGATTTTAAAAAACTATTATAACAGAGAGAATCAGAATTATGTTTCGCTAGGTAAAATACCTATAAAGTATCTAATTAAATTCTGCTAGCTCCAAGCTTTGAGTCCTTTTTTAACAGACTAGGGTCTTTGTCTTCTAGTCAATGGAGTCTCTGTGTCCTACAAAGACATATCCTATTGCCCGTCTCATAGATCTTTTTAGACTAAAAAAGTAGTTGGCAAGACATTTTGAGCACTGTGGAACATATTTTCACCTGACCCTGCATTCTAATTGTGTTTGAAGAGCACTACAATATGAATCAGACTTTAAAGAATGATAAACGCAGGTCTGAGACCTGGAAATGTTTAAGATTTCAATGCAATGAAAATTTGTACAAGAATAATAACCACCACCACCAGATAAGCACAGCCATTCAATACTAATTTTCTGATAATTTACGTCACGTGAAGATCTGCCATTGTGTGTCAGCATTATCTCTTTAAGATATCAGAGCATTATTTTCCAGTGTTTTCCTTCATGGATATTTTTTAAAAGGTAGAATCTACATCTTATAAAGTAATATAATATGTGGAGTTAATGGTCTATAATGAGGGTGGCAAACCCTTAGTCCAGGGCTGACAGAGAAACACAGTTGCTTTCACTTGCACAGTGTGATCTATTTATTATACAGTGTGAAATTAGTTGCTGATATTTAAAAGATTCCACATAACAAGTGTGATTTCCAGTTGTTTTTATTTTTATGGCAAATATTCTTTTTGACAATAGTAAACCTAGACCGCCTACATGGCAATGATTTGTTGGAGCTAAGCAGCTATGGTACCTTTTTAGAGGTGTGTATGCTCTCTCAATGTAGGTCAATGTCATGGGCCACCTGCCAACACACCTGCACTATTGTGTTTCCATCAAAATCGAGATAATGACAGGGAGAGGTGATGTTTCACCAAGGTTGTTTCTTTCATTTATGCTCCCTACTGAGCTCTGTGAACATCTGAGTTTGGGCTATCCAGTTTACAGCAATATAGAAAAGTAGGCATGTTTAGGGAAGTTTGGCTACTGTAAGTATGATTAGTGGTCACATAAATGCTAGTGAATAATAAAGAAGAGAAATGACAATGAAGGGGATGAGAAAATTACCTTCTTATTAAGAGTCTTCCACCTTGTGTTGACATCATCCAGGTCATGCTCCAAACCCTGGGTGCTGGTGCTTTTAGCAGCACTCTGTATAAGGCCTTGACCTAACCAGTTTACATCTTGCTGTTTAACCTGCAAGGGTTCAATCTCCTCTTTTTGGAATACCTGCAGTTGGAAGGGCAATAATAATATGAATTATATTACCTAACAACCACCAAATACAAAAACAAACATCTGTTCAATTATCAAGTATCAATTATTAGAGGTGAAGATAATTTTTGTCACCTATTCATATGTCATAGCTGCCTTATTAATAATAGTAAGAAATTAAACTAAATATAAATACATAACACTTATTATCAAAAACATTCAGTAATATTAAAGAATGATTTTCTAAGTACATTTAATCAGATTACCTATAAAACCAAGAAAACAGTACATGTGTTCCTTCCTTTCTTGTGCACTAGAAATTTCCTATCATTTCAATTTAACTCTAGTAAAAAAATGTATGAAAAATGCTAAGGAGCAAAACAATAAGATGGACCCAAGATGAGCCTTGCTACTAGGCATGGATTTTTATATGCTCTTCTAAGGATAGCTGCCATTAGCCAGCAATCCAAGTTTGAGACTCAAATTGGAAATGAGAATCATTGACAAGATAATGAGGTTAGCCAAGAGGCCAATCTATGGCTTGCCAGAGGGGCCAAAATGCAGCAATAGGAAAAGAAAAATGATATAGGCACGCGCTGCAATAGTTTGGATCCCTACATATCTAGCCCCCTAAATATCAAGATGCCGATGGACTCGCAAGAGGCATGGAGACCTCATCCACTGAATATGATCATACATGCCACCAGTACAGCAATTCTGGTTACAATTTGGTCACTGCCTGCACTGTCAGCAGTTTTCCAGCACTCCCTCCCGACTCTCCATCCCATCCAATATATGTTCCCTCCATCCCTGTAACTGTCAAAAGATCTAATGTATTAGAGTAAAATGCAAGTTCCATAAGAGCAGAAATTTCTGTTTTCCTTATAGTAGTTCCATTCCCTGGGCCTACCATAGTACCTCACATGTGTTATGTACCTGATAATTATTTGCCAAGTGAATATCGTCAGTATAGAAAAATTATATTTATATCTTGGGGTAGATGACATCAATCCCACTACAGATAATAGTGGGGGTTGTAGAACTCTGTCACAGATGATATGAATGTTTTTGTTTTTGTTTTTTTTAATGTAGGAATTGAAGGAAGCCATAAAGAAAATAAATTAATTTAACTAAGGAAGGAAAATTTCAGCTAGATAAGGTAAGACGAGGTTTGAGGTCCTGAGCCATTATACTATAGGGCACTATATAAATATATCAATAATCCAAGTGAATAAACAGTTAAACAGAATATATAAAAACATAATAAAGGCAAATATCAAAACAGTACTTAAGAAAAAATTATAGGCACAGTATGGAAAATATTTCTGGAAAATGTAGAGGCTATAAGAGACAAACTCTCCAGACTCTGGCCTAAGGCCTAGCAAGCAGCATACTCCTGTGTCACTGTATAAATGAGTAAATTAAGGAAGAGCAAACAAATAAATGACCATTTCTTCTCAAAGTCCCCTCCTAACTAAAAGTCTAAATTCCCTCTATAGAAAATCTATATAGACAATTCCCACACTGGCTAATTGTTTCTATGTAACAATGCTAAATATAAAAAGTCAACCACACATCAACCAAAAAAATTATAAGAATTCCCCCAAATCATTGAGGTAAGAAAAACATAAGTTTTCACAATTTTTTAAAAGGCATTAATTTACTTAATAAAGCAGCATATATTGCAGCAACGTGGTGAAAATAGAATTTGGTACTGAATTATAGTTCTATTTCTTTTCTATACCACTTTCTGAGTTACTACTTGCAGGAACTAACAGCTGTGAGTATGTTTTACTAACAAAAAAAGGAATGTGTTGAGGGGAGAGGAACTGCTACATTCTTAATTCCAAGAACTTGTCTGGTATATAAGGATTCATGGAAAAGTTCTATTCTCCCTCTCAGATAATTTTCAGGACACACACACACACACACACACACACACACACACACACACACACACACTAACCTAATGTCCTAGTAAATTGCCTTAACCTCTGATCTTGGTTTTTAAAGAAGTTAATTTTAGGGTTGAGTATCACAGTAGGTCTAGGTGAGTCTGTGGTAATTTTCTAAAGTGCTACAGAAAAACTACTAAGGGTTAAAAAAGATAACTACTAAAGAATCTATATAGGCCTAAGAGTTTAATTGCTTCTTACAAATAAACTGCAAAATCCTTTACACTAAGAAACGTACTTTGCCAAGCTTTTAAACTAACATGCCATTTAATGCACGCTCAAGGAAAGTGCATTGCTGGTCAGAGCAATTATTTCATAGACTGAAAAGAGGAACTTTTCTGATATTATCCAAATTTCTTATCTCTCAGTGGTAACAAAATACCTATCAAGAGAGACTTTCCCTCAATTTAATCCATAAGCACACAAACACAGAAACGCTTAAAATAAAATAAAATTATCTCTAAGGCAAAGTTTACCAGAAGAGCTTGGTGAAAGTACCAAAATAGCTGAACTTCAATCTAAGCGGGAAGAAAAGAATTACAGGCTTGACAAACAACCTCTACTTATTACAAGGCTGTACCCTTTACTTTCTTACCTCATTCGCCACTCACAAAAAGTTAGGAACTACCATGACTGCAAAATACAGCACAATAACTTCTCTACTTCCACATGCAGAGCTACTGAGAGAAAATTTTCAGCACATCTTAAAACGTCCTTAATTTGAGTAGAGTACTTCACAGACCACAACAATATAATATTGTGTTTGTACCTTCATGACTAAGCCTGCTCAAGCTTAATAAATCCACTATAACTGCCCTTAAATGGCAGTGTCTTAAACCACAATGTGTGTAAAAGCCAAACGTTAACATAAATTCACAGTGGAGGCACTCTAAATGAAGGGAAACAGTCTCCATCTGCACAATCAATAACAGGACTCTAAACAGCTGGGAATAATCATTCTCCTCAAAAACGGTCCCTAATTAATTCATGAAAATGATCAACTTATCAATATCTGGCATCTTGTAGAGTACTAGTCAAACCCCCAAAATAAAAGACTGCTCTTGATCATCACTAGAAGCACTAGTGACCACTTTTGAACAGAAGCACAAACTTTTGGCATTACAGAGTTTCACATTTCCATTAGTTACCTGAACTGACTGAAAGCCATTACAGACTGTGTCCGATATTCCTGCCTGGACCCTTGTTTTTCTGGGAGCTGCTTTCTTTCTTATTGGTATGAATTTCGGGGAGCACTTCATATGGATCACCTCCATCTCCTGGGCAGAAAGGGGAGCCTCCACCTCCTCTTTAGATGCAATGCTGGATTCTTCTGAATCGCATTGTGTCAACAATGTCACATTTTCTACTAAACTTGTTCTACCACAATGTACATCGTTTCCCCTCGGATCTGAATGCGAGAGATCTAAACCCTCAGGAGAATCTTCCATAAATTCCCTACTTTGTGCTGTGATTTGGAATTCTCCCGGTCCATATGTTTTCCCTTCTTCTCCAGGGTTAGAAATACACTCATTTTCTCCATCTCTTGGCATAATTAATGGATCATACTTAACAGTACTCTCTTTCAAATCATTCTGCAGGCAGCAGTTTTCACCATGGATTTCCCTTGGACCATTTACACGTTTTATTTCTTCTAGTGGAGAAGCATCATGTAAAATCATTTTGACGTTTTCATCAGGGTGGGCACTTCTACATGAAAGCAATGGGATTTTCTGTTCGCTAATGGAATTGACAGAAAAAAATGGTCTATATTGTTCTGCTATATGAATATCTTCAGTGGGAGACAAGCTTCTAATTCGTGACTGGTCTCCAGTTAAAATGCCCTGTTTTTCTTCCCTCTCTGCTGGAGGGCTACATAAACCAGAGTCATCCTCCTCTGATGTGAGAGAATTAGTCCCCCATCTGCACTTGCTGGCCTTGGTAACAGCATCTGACATATCAGTAGGTTCAACAAAAGAGCTTTCACTTTTGTTTGCATAATCCATAAAATTGGCTGGGACAAACATTCGCCATGACCGTCTATGCTCTTTCTTTTCTGCATGAGATTTGGCTTTGGGTAATGCTGTGGTTCGAATGATATCGCTATTTAGTTTGAGCGCATCAAAGATCATTTTTTCATCTAGTTTGTTAGCTTCACGACCTCTTAGCTCAAACACACTGGAAGAAGCAAGGGCACCGTTGGAGCATAAAGAACTAACATCCAGTGTTCTGTGACTGTAGGGTAAAGTCCGATCTGTAAAATGCCTGGACGACAGGCTACCTTTCGAACCAGAGTCTATCTGTTCATTCAGTCTAACAGTATCGTAGATTGACCGCTGTGGGACATAACAGTCTTC